AGTGGTACCTAAGCCTGAAGTGGAACCCGTGAAACCAGTGGTACCTAAGCCTGAAGTGGAACCCGTGAAACCAGTGGTACCTAAGCCTGAAGTGGCTCAAATTAAGCCTGAGCTCCAAGAACCAAAAGCTGTCCCCACTAAGAAAACGCCAGAGGCCTTAAAACCAATAGGTAATGTAATGAACACTTTGTTTTTCTGATGTTCAAATGGAAAGTCATTACATCCCAAGTTCTTCTAGTTTTGTTTCATGTTGCTGTGACCTAAGTGTGCACTTCTTAACATGTTCATATATGTCATGGATGTCCTTTGCTGCTAACCTCTTGATCTTTAAGCATTAACACTGTCTATAGTGTGGACCACACGTGGTGTTTGGAGTGTTTGAATATAGCCTTTAAAAAAGACATTGCTTTGGTGTATAAATAACAAATCTAACAAATTTTGATCATGAAAATAATTCTATGGTAAGAGTAAACCTTTAAACATATAAATGCTGTCCAAAGTGCCAGCCGTAGACAAACTAGCAGAAGCCACAATTCAGCCAGTCCCTACAACGATTACTTCAACAAAGACTGACAATCCATTATTAAAAGGTAATGAAGGGACATGTTTTTCATGTGTGGCACTAACTCTCTTTACAACAAACACGGCTCGGCTGTGTATTTAATGTACTGTGACTGTGTCTTTCTCTAAGCACTCGATAGAGTGTTGACGCCACCGTGGTTACCAGAAGGTTACTGAACATATACACTGTATGCATTTTTTCCTTTAAAGTACCAAAACCACCAAAGTCAGAAGAACCTGTACTTCACCCAAGTGCAGTCCTTGCTTCTCCATCATTGGAACATCTTCCAACTGAAGGTATAGATTGTTAACCAAAGTCGTGTTGCTTCTTTTTCTCTAATATCATCTTTCCTACTTTGACTTCACTCATTAAGAATGTATCTTTGATTCCATATTAATCTTAATTGTTAGCTGTTGGATAAAAAAATACACAATCTTCTCTTAAGTGCAAGAAACACCAAGATCAGAACAACCTGTACCTCAACCACCTGCACCCAAAGTTACTCCACAAAAAGTTGAAGATGTCCCAGTTAAAGGTACTACAAAGAGTTTGTTGAAAAGCTGCTGTGTTGTGCCGGTTTCTTTTATACTTGTTAGTATAACTTTTGCTTTTCTGAAATATCTTACATAAATATCTTTCAGCATGCTAAGCACTCGTTAGAGTGTGACTACAAATTTTTGGTATTAGAAAAAAAATATTAAATATTAAATAAATCTTCTTTTAAGTTGCTTTAGAATCAAAGATACACGAACCTCCAAGAAAACCATATTTGCTGGCTGATAAACATCAGCAGGAAGTAACTGAACCAAGGGACCTGGAAGCTCCAGAAAAAATCAAGGCTCCTGAGGTTCCTGAAGCACCAAAGAAGGTTCCTGAAGCACTAAAGGTTCCTGAAGCGGCAAAGACGGCTACAGAGGAACCGAGGAAGCTTCCTGAAGAACCAAAGAAGGTTCCTGAAAAAACAAAAAAAGTTCCTGAAGAACTAAAGAAGGTTCCTGAAGCACCTAAAAAGCCTCCCAAGGAACCAAAGAAGGTTCCTGAAGAACCAGTTCCAGAAACACTGAAGAAAGTTCCAGAAGTAGCAAAAACAGCTGTGGTAGAACCACAGAAAGTTCCAACAGCACAGGTTATAGAACGATCAGCAGAGCCAGTGAAAGATCTAGAAGTGTCAGCAGAACCACAACATTTGGAAACACCAATACAACAACCGCAGGCCAAAAAGTCTGAAGGTAGATATGTCTGTCAATACCATTTGGTTGGTCTTATAACCACTTACTAGTAACTCATCTTGACCTATTAACACAATAAGTTGGCCTTGTTGAAATGCAGTAAGCTTTCTTCAAAGATTTTGTTATGATTTGTGTGTTGACTGTTCACTGTTTGTTACTTCATATCAGTCATCCAAACAGTCAAACAAAGGGGGATACCAACAGCTCTAGCTAAACCACAGCTGGAGGCGAGTACACCAGTCAAAGGTATGCTTTGACTTTGAAAGGTTCCCCGTGGATATTCAGCATTTTTATGAATTCCTTAGAACATGACTATGAATACGTTTGCTTCTATAATCAGATGAGATCGTTGCTTCTGGAAAAGTAGAAGACGAGCCAAAGGCCATAGAAATCCCTCAGCAGAGAGGTAGAAATTCATAATACTTATAAAATAGTTGTAAAATAAGGGTCGTAGTTGAATATGTACCACACTAAAGTTTGTATTTTTGTGTCTTGGTGGTGTGTATGTGTCGTGTTTTCTTCTTGGCCACCGCTCCATGGTGCATTTCTTCAATCTTGGGTAATATCTTAAAATTTATCCCAGTTCCTCCGAAGACTCATCTGAAGCCAACAGCTGAGGTTGAAGGCAGAAAGGAGTGTCCTGCAGAAAAAGGTGTTGAAGAAAGGATTTCCCTTACAGAAGCTGGCTACAGGAAACAGGAAGTCGACACATATGAAGAAGGAGTCAACGAGTCAACTGCAAGAGAAGAAACCATTTTGAAAACTGAGATAATGGAACAAATTGAAAAGACAAAGGAGGTGGTTTCTGTATCATACAGAGAAGATCGTCAGGTAGAGATTATAGAGCAATGGAAAACAGATTATGAGGCTGAACAACTGGAGTGGACTGGACCTTACAAACCTGAGAAAATAGAGAAAGAAATGTCTCAGTGGTCTGCTTCTCCAACTCTAAAGGGGTCTGCCCATTCTCCTGCAGAACAAGATGTCGCACCTCCACCTGAAATGTCTCATCTTTTGCAGAAAAAGGTTTCTTCTCCTGATGTTGGTGTTACATCAGAAAAAGAGGCTTACAAGAAGAAAGAGCAGGCCGAAGAGGCTGGCCTTCCTACTGCGTATTTACAGACAAGAGTTACTGAATCATTATATCATGAAGAAATTCAAGACTCTGCGATAGAGGAACTTAAGTCTAAAAAGGTCACCACATCAAAGAAGCCGAGAGCTCTTACAGAAGTAATTTGTTTGAAGCAAGATGGGTCTGTTGAAGGTAAAGCAGATGTTCCCCAAACCACTCTTTCTCACCCTGCAGCAGTTTCTCCTACAATGGTATCTTCAAGTCAAGACATGGTGAAAACTCCTAAAACTTCCATAAATGTATGTGATGAAGATATTCTACCTCTGGACAAGCCAAGTCTTCTATCAGAAGATGCATCGATTAAACAAAGTAGGGATGGATCACGTTTTGTTACAGATCAGATTCCTTCACCCGAGGAGAGACGCTGTTCTGAGGAAGACATTTCTCCAGCAAAGAAGTCTGTTCTGCCAACCAAACACAGCTCCCCTACACTCTCTGAGGCAGTTTTTGGCCTAATAGAAGATCTGTCCCTTGAAGAAGACACTCCTGTCAAGAAACCTATTCCTTCTGTGGCTGCTCCAGTAAAAACATCTCAAGTTCAGCAAATCTCTCCATCTTTGAGAGTTTCTGAGGAAGCAAACAACTCTGCAACTGAAGCTACACCAACAAGAGCAGATGACAAGAAAGCAAAGAAGCCAACACAGAAGACTGACCGACAGGCTCTTGATACAGGTATCTGAGCCACACAGGCTCACGATCGCCTCTCTTAAACTTTACTTTCACTAATATCTTGTACTCATCGTGGTTAACAAGAAAACCTTAGTCCATATTAAGCTGATCTTTTTAATGACGATTTGGGGCAGTCTTGGTCTGTTAACCTCTTTTACTGCTGGGATTTTGTTTTCATTCATCATCTTCATTCTTCAGCTTTCATCCACATCTTTATCTCTGTCGCTGTTTCAGCCTGTTTATGATGTTTGCAGAAATGTGCCTGAAATATCTGTGTCTAGTCTTGGCTGACTGTGCTGCTGTCTCGGTTGTGACCTTGACATCTTGTATTCCTAAAGTGCCTCCTCCTGAGGAGAAGAAACCATCTCTACCAGCACCAAAGCCTTCACCTACTCCTCCTCGTGAGCAGAAGGGGGCTCCCCCTGCAGGTAGCCTGTTCAGTTTGTTCCTCATCTTTGCTGAATCTTAATGGGCCAAACTTTTTCTAATCTTCACCTCTATTTGTTTGTCCTTTCTGTCTAAGTCATCTTCAGATTTCCATGTTTATTTTTTGTTTTATGTACTTACTGTGTGTCAGTTTGTCGTGACCTTGGCATCTTGTATTCTTAAAGAATCTCCCCGAGAGGAGCAGAAACCATCTGCACCAGCACCAAAGCCTTCACCTCCTGCTCCCCCTGCTCCTGAGCAGAAGGTGGCTCCCCCTGCAGGTAGCCTGTTTATGCATGTTCCTCATCTTTGCTGACTCTTCATGAGTTGACCTTTTTTGTCTTTGATTTTTTGTATTCTTCCTCTCTAAGTTGTTGGATTTTTTTTAAATTAATGTGTGTATTATGCGTAAGTTTGCACTGACCAAGCTTATGGCTTCTTGGTCGTGACCTTGGCATCTTGTATTCTTAAAGTATCTCCCCCAGAGGAGAAGAAAACATCTGCACCAGCACCAAAGCCTTCACCTCCTGCTCCCCCTGCTCCTGTACAGAAAGTTGCTCCTCCTGCAGGTAGTTTCTTCGCTCACTTTTGTTATTGTTGTAAATGTTGTCTTTCTGTTTGGTTTCATTTGGTGGGTGACAATCGCCTCATGTTTGCTTTAACTTCACTGGCTGACTGTTGTTAGTCCTCTCTGGTGTCTCTACTGACCATATGGCAATCTTGGTCATGATCTTGGCATCTTCTATTATTATTTCCTTCAGAGGAAAAGAAACCATCTTCTCCAGCGCCGAAGCCTTCGGCTCCTGCTGCTCCTGCTGCTCCTGCAGCCAAAGTTGCTCCTCCTGCAGGTACTTCTGTTACACCTCTGTTTGTTATTATAAAAATTCTCCATGTTGTCTTATTCTGTTTCTGTTTGAGTTACTGTTATCTTTGTTGCCCATGTAAACTTTTCTTCCATCTTAACATCTTTATATTGTTCTCTGTCTGTTCCAATTTGTTGCTACTTTCGAGTCTTCTCTCTTGGTCGTAACCGTTGATATTTTGTACTTCTAAGTGTCTCCTCCTGAGGAAAAGAAGGTGCCTCTACCAACAACCAAGCCAACAGCAGAGAGAGTGGTTCCCCCCGCAGGTAGTTTCCACTGCTTATCATTAATCTTACTGACTGTTCTGTTTGTCCTGCCTTTGAGAAATCTGTTGGGTCTTAACAACAGTGAATTCTGTAGTTTTATACGTTTCGTTCATCTGTTTGTCAGTTGGTTGTTGCTTGTTGACCAGATCTTTGCCAGTGATTTAATCATGTTGGCGTTCTTGTAGCTAAAGTTGCATCGTTGGAGAAGGAAGCTCCTGCACCAGCCGTAAAGGCTGAACCAGCTCCTGTATCAAAGGAAATCTCGCCCCCTGAAGGTAACATCTGTTCTTTCATGTATGCTCCTCTCTTATGTTTATCTTCTACTTTGAAGCATTTTTAATGGCACAGCTTCAGTCTTCATACCAAACATATTTACCTTTTCTTTTAAAATGTGTTTCCTGTTTACATCTGTTGGTCTGTTTCTATACACAACAGTCCACTTCCACACTTTGATCCAATTCACTTCTTTAATATTAAATGGTAAATGGACTAGTTCTTATATAGCGCTTTTCCACTCTTCTGAGCACTCAAAGCGCTTTACACAACTTGTGCATCACCCATTCACACAAGCACAACTGACATTCACACACATTCATACTCCGATGAATGCATCGGAGAGCAATTTCGGGTTAGTATCTTGCCCAAGGATATTTGGCATGCAGACTAGGGGGAAGCCGGGAATCAAACCGGGAATCAAACCACCAACCTTCCGATCAGTAGATGACCTGCTCTACCACCTGAGCTACAGCCACCCCAATTTGCTGAATGAAGCCAAATGACCTTATAAAGGATGTTTAAACATCTGGTTGCATCATGTTTGCAGTGATAAAACGTGTTAAACAGCTGATGAACTTCCTGCTTCTTCTTAAAGCTCACTCTCTCTATTTCTGCAAAGTATTCTGCTGAAAGCTCAAAACAGTAAAACAACCCCAAACACAGCTGCATGCCTCAAACAAATGAACCATCTTTGGCTTTGACTGAGCCTTTTGTCTAACTCTGTTTGCATTATTTGTACTTATAATGATTTTATATAATCTTTTGCAGACAAGGAACCAGTGTCAGCACCTGGACCAACAAAAGGTATGCAAAACCTTTTTATTTCAAAGAAACAAAGCACAACCTGCTTCAATTTTTTGTAGCCTTTTAGGATATTTTAGTTTCATCTACATGTGTAAGTGTGATTCTGTGTTATACTGTAGAAAATATTTTATTATTTTCTGTGTTATTATGGTGATATTATAAAAGGTGCATTTGCTGCCCAAACCACAGTGCCGTCTCTTAAGCAAAAGGGTAAGATTCCTGTTCAAGAGGCAAAAACACCCGAATCACCTAAGCTGAAGAGTAAGTTCACCAGAATACCGAAAGAGAAAGAACCAGAACCAGAGGTCATTAAGCTGAAGAAGGTTCCAGTGAAACCTCCAGAGCCAGAGAAACAAGTCGTAACTCATAAGGCAGAAGTGACGAGGCATCACGATCCAGAGCTAGCAGTTCATGGGCTTCATGACAGGGACGATCGAGAGATAATCACACTTGGTAGAACTGAACGAGTATTCACTGCAGATGAGGAAACTATTGAGTTAAGCCATTTTGAGGAAATGGAAACCCTTACAGTTGTGCAAAAACCAGAACCTGGCAAATGGACAAGAACCTTAAAACCTCAGAAAGACGAGGCACCGGAGGAGCCGCACGTCGCAAAGAAGAAAATAACTAAATTGCCAAAAGCAGATGAGCAAAAAGAATCAGTGAAACTAAAACCATTTGAAACATTTGGGAAACAAGATGCTGAATTACAAGCAATCAAACTAAAAAAGGTGCCACCTAAACCAAAAGAGCCTGAAAAGGAAGCCATAACTCATAAAGTTGAAGTGACAAGGCATTATGATGCAGAATTAACAGTCCAGAAACTTCGTGATAGAGAGGATCGAGAGTTAGTAACAGTTGAGAGAAAGGAACGAGTTTTCACAGCAGCTGAAGAGACATCTGAACTCAGCTTTGCAGAGGAACCTGAAAAACTGGAGGCAGAAGATGAGAAATCAAGATGGGTAAGAGCCCCAAAAGCACCAAAAGAAGAGGAACCAGAGTCAGATTTAAATAAAAAGAAAATAAAAAAATTACCAAAGAAGGACGAGGACCAGGAAGTAGTTACACTGAAGCCATTTCAAAAACCCCAAAAACAAGAAGCAGCTGAACCTCCGAAGGCTGAGACAGAAGCTGAGGCAAAAACAGATACTGAGCGGAGTCCTTACATGAGAGGTGAGCTGCCACGAAGAGATCAACCTGCCGCTGCTGTAAAACACCAGAAAGATGATGACGATGCTCCACTGATGAATGACAATGCATCTCCACATATCAACAAAGACCAAAAGGAAATCCCATATAAGAAAAAGGTTGATCAAGTACCCAAAGATGTAGAAACTACAGCGGCCGAAAAGCTCCGCAGAAAACCTAAAATTATTTCTACACCTGATAAAGAGAAAGAGCAGGTTGTGTTGAAACCATTCACTAAAATCACCAAGCCTGAAGAAAAGCCAGAAAAAGCATCAGAAGAGAAGAAGAAGCCTTTGGACACAAAGGTACCCAGTCAAGGAACTAAAGAGCTGAAGGAACAACTTAAGAAAGCTGAAAAGACTGTAACGCCTAAAAAAGACAATGAAACACCTCAGGAGAAGGAGAAACCAGCTGAGAAGCCCAGTCCTCCAAGTCAGAAAGAAGAAGAGAGACCGAGTCCTCCAAAACAAACCGATATCCTGAAGAAAAGTCCAGAAATCAAAAAGACTCCTTCACCCAAAGCCAAGATAAGTCAAGATAAGCCTGAAGAGGAAAAGCCCCTCAAACCTATTGAGCAGCTGAAGAAGGTTGAACTAAAAAAGACCCCATCACCCAAGATAGAGAAAATAAAGACAAGTGAAGTGGAGCAAATTCCCATCGAGAAGAAGCCAAGTGGTGAAAAAGTCAAAAGGATTCCCAAGACTGTTTCGCCAAAAGACTCCACTGAATCCGTGACCCTCAAAAAGGTGCCCAAGAAGCCCTCACCAGAGGGGCCCTCGGAAAGGCCTGATACAGGGCGGATCCCTCTGGTGAAGGAGATCTCTCCTGGAGCTGTGGAGATTAAGCGGGTGACAACCCAGCCAGAGGAGGAGGTATGTGAAGAGGAGGGTGAAAAAATGGTAGCCGACGAAGATGAGGAGGTCTGGGACTGGGAGCTGGTTCCACCGGAAGACTGGGAAGGTGAAGGGGTGGATGGGGCGCTGGAGACTCCAGGCATGCCCGGCACCAAGAGAGGTGAGGTGAAGGCCGGTGAACTCGTCCAGCTGATGACTCTGGAATCGCCTCATCCCATTTCAGACAATTCATCTAATCTTCATTACATCCAATTTTACGTTACATTATATATTTGTTCATCTGTTTGTCTGTCTGCTCATTGCCCATCCATCCTTTGTGATGTTTTTAAGTGGTCATCATCTTAAATCTGTCCTCAGTTGTGTCATCAGTCATTCGATGCTCATCTTCATCACTGTTTTTATTATTCACTGCAACAGTTTTTCCGTTTCCATCTCACCTTCATCCTCGTCACTGAACTTTTTTTTTTTTACATGTGTGTAATTTGATGTTCAGCTGTGATCTGGATACGATCTTGAATCTTGGCTGTTAGTTTTGTTAACATCTTTTTCTTGGTTTGTGTTGGAGACTAGGATGAGCTCTTGCAGTGAAGCTTAAAACTTGTCCCACTCTTTCTTGTTCAGATGGAAAACCAACAGAAGAGCCCGCGAAAGGCCGAGGTCGAGGATTTGGGGGTGAGAGCTCACTAACATTAGATCTCATCAGCACAAACCATTCGGCACTTTCATTTGTTTCATGCACACTTGTAAAGCCAAAGTTGTTTTTTTGTGTGTGTGTGTCTTTAGAACAAAACCAAAAATATATTTTATGTTACAATTTTAATTTTGAGTTCAAAGCTCACTTCTGACTGACAGCTGTGTCTGTGTATCGTCGTGAGCATAAATCTAAAGCTTTTTTGTCCTGTGGGATTCGTTGTTTGTGTCGAATATGTTTATTCCTCATTGGTTTTAGGCAGAATCTTATTTTTTGTGCTTATTTAACATTAAAATCTTTATACTTTTTAAAGACGTTTAAGTCACAGTAGGTAGCTCACAGTTTCAAAGTAAGCTGCTGTCTAATTCGTCACTTGCCCCAACATCTGAATCAACAAGAGGAGTTTTTGTGTCTGATGTTGCAGCGAGACAAACTCCATCTCCTGGTGATGGAGGCAGGGGCCGGGGTCTAAAGCCAGGTGGAAAAGGCCCATCACCTCCCGAGGACCCATTTGGAGGATTCAAGCTCAAACCTGTCCAGCTGAAGTTCATTAAGAAGCTTAAGGACATTGTGCTGCAGGAAGCTGAGTCCATCGGCTCCTCCGCGGTGTTTGAGTGCGAGGTCTCGCCTTCCACGGCCATCACTTCGTGGATGAAAGATGACAGCAACTTGCGTGAGAGCCCCAAGCACAAGTTTACATCTGATGGCAAAGATCGCAAGTTGCACATTATTGATGTGCAACTATCTGACACTGGAGAATACACGTGTGTGGCTAAGAATGCGGGCAAGGAAATAACATGCACAGCCAAGTTAATTGTTGAAGGTAAACGATTGTTTTAATCCAACATCAATTTTTAAAAACTTATTTGACATTCATGAAAACACTATTAATCACCTTTTTCCCACAGAGCTGCCTGTGAAATGGTTGAAGGAACTGGAACCAGAGACAACATGCATTAAGGGTCAGCCAATGTACCTCACCTGTGAGCTGAACAAAGAACGGGACGTCATTTGGAAACGTAACGGTCAGGTTCTGAAAACAAAGGCTGGAAAAGTGGCCGTTAATGTAATTGGCATGCAGCATGCTGTGACCATCCAGAACTCCACTGATGAAGATGGCGGCGCCTACACCTGTGAGGTCGATGGACAGGAGGACGTCAAGACTACAACTAACGTCAAAGTTATTGGTAAGAAGTCTGCAGAGCATGGTAGCAATGAAACAAGATAAATACAGTCATTGTACCGTCCACCGTTCAGGGTGAGTCCACCTACAAGCTGGATTGGTCCCAGGCTGAAACTGTCCCCCAGCAGTTAAAAACCAATATGAAGGGCAGCTACTATGAACAGTAGAGCTTGTATTTATGCACCATTTAAGGCCTAAGTTGATCCCTGTTTGAGTTGCCTTATGCTGCACCAGAGAAAACAGACCATGGCACAACCAAAATTACTGTGACGGTGTGCAGTCTCATTGTTCTGGCAAAGATGGCTGCTCAAAGACGGGAACCCGTCACCATCTTTAATCTGACCTTGATGCATCAAGATGGCAATAAAGCTGCGCTAGGACGGCGTCAGTCTGCACACTCAAGCTCTCTTGCCAATCTACCAATCCAGTGAACCAAAGATTTTCCCTAGTTACACAGAAGTCGTTGTCATACTTCTTTAGTGTGACTGAGGCATAAGAGTGTGTCTTGTTGAGCAGTTTTCCACTGTAGGAACAAATATAATGTGAACCCTTCCTCCTCAGAAACCATCAAAGACTGGCTGGTGAAGCCTCTGAGAGACCAGCATGTGAAACCAAAGGCAAAGGCCACCTTCAAATGTGAGCTGTTCAAGGACACGCCCAACTGGAAGTGGTTCAAAGGAGAAAACGAGCTTACTCCCTCTGACAAGGTCGAGATCAATAAAGATGGAAAGGACATGACGCTCAGCATCAATAACTGCCAGCCTGATGATGTATCAGACTACACCATCCAGGTGGAGGATCGCAGATATACAGCCAAGCTGACACTTGGAGGTTGGTGTATCCACGTTGGGGAAGCATGAGGACCACGCTTTTCCAATCGCAAAGATTTCTAACTCTAACTTTCTTTGGCTGCTTTCAGAGCGTGAGGCTGAGATCCTCAAGCCACTCTCCAGTGTGGAGGTGGTTGAGAAGGAAGAGGCCAACTTTGACTCTGAGATATCAGAGGACGATGTGGCCGGTGAATGGAAGCTGAAAGGCCAGGTGTTGACTAGATCTCCGGTAAGATATTTAACAATGCTTTGTCTCAGAGCAAATTATTGGAGATAAATATCTGAATTTCAGGAGCGGGACCACGCCTCCAAACATGCGCCGTCCAGTTCTCATCTATATAGGTTCCCCCAGTTCACCAAGCTGTTCCTTCTCGTTTCTGTGCCCCACCCTCCCTCCGCTTTTCAAGTCTTCGCTTCTATTTAGTGCACGGGGATCTGCCAGGAGCCGTCGGCCCTTTGAGGCCTTCCCCAAACCGCAGCTCAGTTCATGTCCAAGCGTCACCTTTACCTACTAATGTGCTGTCAAACCTAAAATGAGGACGTGGGCCCAGCTAGTGAGATAGCAGCTAAACGTGAGCTCGTCGCAGGACTCAGGCCACTCGAAACCACAAATGAGAGGATCATATACTTCTGTGCTGTAGTAAATTTAGTAGCCTGCATGATTTGGGTTTATAGAAATGTGAATAGGGAAGTAGCACTCATGCCTCTTTGTTTTGCAGACCTGTGACATTAAAGCTGAGGGCAAAAAACGTTTCCTCACACTGAAAAACGTGCAGCTGGATCAGGCTGGTGAAGTGACATACCAGGCTCTGAACGCCGTCACCAGCGCTATGCTCACCGTCAAAGGTACGGATTTACCAAAGACAAAACTTCCCCTGTTGCAACCTGCTGCATTTTGTTGGTCATGGAAAACTGTTGCAGAGCAAACACGGTAAGAGAAGCTGTGGTTGTGTCTTTGTTTCTGTTATTAATTGCCAAATCGTTCGCACCTCTCAGAAATCGAAATGGGCTTTGTTGACCCGCTCAAGGACCTTTCTGTGCCTGAAAAGAAGCAGGCTAAGTTTGAGTGCACCATCACTAAGGACGTGTCAAAGGTCATATGGTTCAGGGGGACAGAGATTGTCACTCCAAGCCCTAAATACGAAATAATTGATGACGGAAAGAAGCACATGCTGATCATAAACAGCTGTGAGTTTGACGACGAGGCTCAGTACACGATCGAAGCGTTGGGTCAGAAATCAACGGCTCAGCTGATGGTGGAGGGTAAGTGGCAAAGAGAAGCGCCACGCTTCATGTTGTTCATGTTTCCTCTGTGAGCTCGTTCAGTGGCCAATGTTTGTCTGCGCTGACTCGATGTATTCCAGGCATGAGGCTGAGTTTTGTCCAGCCGCTTCAGGACCAAACGGTCAAAGAAGGTAATGCGGCACGCTTTGATCTCGAGCTGTCTCATGAGGACGTGCCAGTGGTCTGGTACCGAAACGAAGTCAAACTCCACGTGAGCCGAACGGTTCTCATTCACGTGGAAGGAAAGAGACACACTCTAGAAATGAGGACGCTGAGTCTAGATGATACCTGCCAAATTAAGGCAGAGGCTAAAGGCATTTACTCCATGGCCAAGCTGACGGTCGTAGGTAACTGCGCTCCCTCGTTTCCTTTTCACTTCTGTTTCACAGTAGCGTGACTTACATGACTCACTTTTTGCATTTTCATATTGTATACTGCATTACAAGACTGCTCTTCACAGAGAAAAATTATGAAAATCTACAAATTATTTGTAATAAACCAAAACTTCCTGTCTGCTCCAGAGGGCGACCCCATGTTTGTGGTGAAGCTACAGGATTACTCAGCCACCGAGAAAGAAGAGGTGACCCTGGACTGTGAACTGAGCAAAGACGTCCCGGTGCTTTGGTACCACGAAGAGAAGGAAATCATCGCCTCCAAGATGGTCATCATGAGGTCAGAGGGCACGCGCAGGTCTCTGGTCCTGAAGAAAGTGGAACTGAGCGACAAAGGCAAATATGTATGTGACTGTGGAACAGACAAGACGTCAGCCAACATCAATATTGAAGGTAAGCACGGTGACATGATTGCCTAAATTCTTTTAAACATAAAAATCAGTTGAATCATAAATTAATCGTAAAGCTGTCTAAGATTTACAGGTTGCTAGGTCAAAATAAACCCGTAAAACGTTAAATGTTCAAGCCTTTCACTGCACAAGGAAACATGACTCCGAAGGGAGGTCCAGGCCTCGTCAGCCTAGTGAGCGACCCCGTAGCAACCTCACGTCTCTAAAAATGCACATCTCCACACCGGTCTGGGAATGACACATCGATGCCTGCAGTTCACATCAAAGACAGCAGCTTCTCTGCAAACGCTCACTGAGCAGCAGTAAAACCTCAGAAAGAGATGCAAAGAGCATTTAAAAGTTGTGCCTCCCCACAACTTTAAAAATGAATGAAAAATAAAAACTTTGAAGGCGAGCGTTCACAGTTTCCAGTTTTTTTGAACTTTTCATGGTGAGCTGTGGGCGAGTTTGCAGCCGAGTCAGCATCTTCCATGGGAACTGCAGGAAACCATGGCAACGTGACCCAAAAATCACTCGGCAACCAGAATCCACATTTTCCCCTAGCGACTGATCGAGGCCGCCGAGGCTGTGTATGAGGACAGATGATGGATTTACTTTCTTTAAATCAAAATAAAAAAGAACTTTGGATTAAAATGAGAAATCCGAGGGAACAAACTGAAACTGATAGTTTCCAGTTCTTCCATTTTTTGTTGTTTAGCTGTAAAATCAGTCCTTTCTTCCAGAAGCAAAACAAACTGCATTTTCATATCATGACCCTTTTTCCCAAAAGCACGCGACATCAAAGTCGTCCGGCCGATTTATGGCGTGGAGTTGTTTGATGGAGAAACGGCTCGTTTCGAAGTGGAGATCTCTGAGGACGACGTCCACGGACAGTGGAAGCTGAACGGAGCGGTGCTCAGTCCGTCCTCTGTGAGTGCTTCATCACAAGCGCCTCATTGGCAGCGCTCTCCATAACATGAAGCCAGTTTATCAGACTGTTTACGTCTTTGTTTAACAGGATGTGGACATCATCGAGGAAGGAGGCAAGCACACGCTGATCCTCTACAACTGCAAAGTGTCCATGACCGGCGAGGTGGCGTACTCTGCTGCTAACGCCAAGTGCTCCGCTAACCTCAAGGTCAAAGGTAAGCCAGCCCACTGACCTCATCATATTTCATAAAAAACATTTTAAATCATTGTAACCTAAAAATGTGAAACTAAAAATGAGAGCGTCTCATAGAATAAGCCAGCGGGGGATCGCAGCAGTTCAATCAAACCTCCGTCTGAGCTTCACCTTCTCAGGTCTGACTTCTCATCAGACTTCATCTCCACTGAACAAAGACACCATATATAAAAACGTCAATACTTTTACTCTGTGTTGGTTACTGTCACAGTTTGGGGCTCGTTATGACGACAGGAATCCTCTAAAATGAACTATACTGATAATTATGATTATCTAAATTCAACTAGGAGGCTAAGTTTTTCTGTTTTTCTCACTGTTTTTCTTCAGAACTCCCGCTGAACTTCCTCACACCCATGACTGATGTTCAGGTCTATGAGAAGGATGATGTGAGGTTCGAGGTCGAGGTGTCGAGAACTCCAAAGACTTTCCGTTGGCTCAAAGGCTCACAGGAGCTGCAGAGCGATGAAAAGTACGAGGTGATCCAGGAGGGAAATTTGTACGTCCTGGTGATCCGATCGGCCGCCTACGATGACGAGGCAAAGTACATGTTTGAGGCCGAGGACAAGAGGACGACGGGCAAACTGGTTATACAAGGTAACGTCGTGGTTGTATTCATTTTTTTTAAACTCCTTTGGCACCAGTGAAACCTTCAGAGAGTCAGGGCACATTATAATCATGTGTTCACATTTAGATCAAATTATTACAGTTTTAAATTTGCCAAATAAACACTTCTGTCCAAACCTTCTCCAGATGAATTCAGTTTGGCAGATTTTTACCTCTGCTTTGTCTTCTGGTTCGGTTCACTTTGAACTAGAGATGGCACGATACCACTTTTT